ACTTTTTCCAAATGTTGGTCTCATTCGATTCAGAATGGCTTGAAACGTCGAGAAAACATAAAATTAGCAAATCGAATTTTCTGGCTAAAACATTCACTTCTCCTTCGGTAATGAAAATTTACTACACCAAAAAATTTGAATTTCTTTCTCTAGATCAACGTATATGTCGACTGTCCACTGACTCTATATCTAAATTTGTAATGATTGCCTTAAGTTTAATTTCAAAACACGAGATTTCATTTCTGCAACGAATGTCGAAAGTGTTCTGTAGTTTGTAGTTTATTGCATCGTTCAGTAAAAAGTGACAAGTGGAATAATGTATACTTTTACTCTCGAAACAAGACGGACGAAGTAATTGCTTGTTTACTGAAATAATAAACATGTGCGACATGATAGTAATAAACAATATTTGTTGCAATAATGGCAATAATTTCTAATACTTAGTAATGTTTTGCTTGCTAAAAGAAGTATAAATAGATCGCAAAAACTGCCACATTGCCGTTACTTCAATTTTAGTTGTTTCCCCGCTTTATAGAGTGCACCACCAAACTGTAGCACGTAAATTTACCCCTGGGTTTAATTCTAGATACGATTTATATAAATATATGATACAGAAAAGATAAACTTGATTAATTTGAATAAATGAAACGAGAACAGAATATACGCTCATAAAAAATATTTTCAACTAAATCACAAATATGTTTTCACAAACATATATAATATAAAATACTAAATTTTTCAACAGACTCTACAATGGTGAATTTGCTGGGAGTTTTACTGAATATAGTCAGAATGTTTGTTTGATACGTATTGTTGGTTGTGATAATTGGTTTGGTTAGACCCTTTTGCCCAGCTATTATTATTTATATATATTATTATTTACTGAAAATTTTTTTTTTCAGATTCCAAAACGACGCACATAACTAACTATGCAGAATTGAATACAATATCTGATAGATTATCCCAAGGAATTTTAAAAACTATAGACGAAGAAAAAATTTCTCCAAACAAGGATGGTGATTATTTAATTGCTGTGTCTATGACACCCAGTGATAGGTAAAATGGAAAACATATATACTAATATAAATTTTCATAATTTTTTTGCAGGATTGTGTAAATTATTTTTATTTTTTAGATTAGTGGAAGTATTATTGGCCGCTTGGAAATCAGGAGCTGCCTATTTACCATTAGATCCAGAATTTCCTGAAACTAGGGTACAACATATTTTGAACGAAGCAAAACCGGCTTTAATCATACACAATGATAAAGGTGAATATTATATTTCATATTTATAGGCTATAGAAAAATATGGGTTGGTGATAAAAAAGCAAAAATTTTAGGTTAAATATATTTCTTAATGCCACATTATAAAAAAATAAAAACAAAAAAAAATCGTCCAAAAATTTAAATGAAAATGGGAGAACAACCCTTATCACTTTTAGGGGTATGAAAAATAGATAACGGGTGGTCCATCTAGTAATCCTAGTGATCTAGTGATCTTACGTTTCAGATATTTCTGTAAAGAAAGCATATAAAGTATTATACATCGTTAGAAAGGTCTCAAAATTTTTAGTTTTTTTTCCATATATCGCAACATCGAATTCCGAACGGTGTGGCCTACAGGCTAGTTGCTATCGTAAAATTTCAGGAAAATCGGAAAACCTAGAGAAAATTATATGAACACAATTAGCCATTTATATACCATTTCATTCGTAATTTTATTCTGCTGCTTTCGTACGAATAAAGTTTTTTCGTATCTTTTACGGTTTAGATAGTATAGAGCAATCTGAATGGATGTTAACTTGTTGAAATGCAAAGTGCGGTTAGGTTAGAGCAACACTCCTTAAGATTCGATGTTTCTGTAAAGAAAACATATAAAGTATTATACATTGTTAGAAAGGTCTAAAAATTCTTAGTTTTTTCCCATATATCGCAACTTCGAATTCCGCACGGTGTGGCCTACAGGCAAGTTGCTATCGAAAAATTTCAAGAAAATCGGAAAATCTCGAGAAAATTATATGAACACACTTAACCATTTATATACCATTTTATTCGTAATTTTATTTTGCATCTTTCGCACGAACAAAGTTTTTTTGTATCTTTAATGGTTTAGATAGTATAGAGCAATCTGTGTGGATGTTAACTTGTTGAAATGCAAAGTGCGGTTTGATTAGAGCAACACTCCTCACGATTCGATATTTCTGTAAAGAAAACATATAAAGTATTATACATCGTTAGAAAGGTCTCAAAATTCTTAGTTTTTTCCCCATATATCGCAACTTCGAATTCCGCACGGTGTGGCCTACAGGCGAGCTGCTATCGATAAATTCTAATTTTTAAGTGGGCCATCTTATATTTACCGATTCTCAGATCTACTGAATATGTATATATAATTTGATAAAAATTGGTAACCCGTTTTCAATCTTTGCGACACGAGAATTTTATATATAAAATTACATATTTTTTTCTAGTACATCTAACCTTTTTTGATTTTTAAGGTAGTTTGTATTTTCACCATTATTTGCCAATTACTATTATTTTCAGAACATGGCACCCATTTGCACGGTGTAAGAAGTTTGTCATTTGATGAAGTATTAAATTTAGGAACAAACAACAAACAAATATTAAAACCCAAAACGAATCAATGTCCAGAAACAAGTTTAGCAATTGTCTTGTACACATCAGGAAGTACAGGGATACCCAAAGGTAATAATAATTGATAATTAAATAATAGTAATAATATATGTAAAATAGTAAATAAATAAATAGTAAAATTTCGTGAAGTAAACCAAAATGCGACATACATAAGTTTAAAAAAATAATGTTTATGCAAATTTGAATTTATTGCGTTATTTATTAAACTGAATTATATAATTTCATCTGCCAACATATACTGCGGACTGTATCTTATATTATTCTAATTTCTGGCATATCTAAGCTGCTTTTCCGCAATAATAATATAGATATCACATTTTTCTTGTATATTATACTCTAATATTATCTAGGCTCATAATTTCAGCTAAATTCAAATTTCAAGTGAATTGATATTTCTAGCAGATTATAGCTCAAATGTTAAATAGTAATAATATATGTAAAATAGTAAATATCATTCATTTTCATTTTTTTAGGGGTCAGATTGCCCCATGCAGTATTATTAAATCGTCTCCAATGGCAATGGAATGTTTTTCCTTACTCGAAAACTGAAACTATTGGAGTCTTCAAAACGGCTTTGACTTTCGTGGATTCTGTCAGCGAAATTTGGGGACCGCTTCTTAACGGTAGGTAAGGACGAGAGACAAGCGAAATATAAATGTTTTTATGAGTAAAACAGAAATATGTTTAAAAGTATAGTTAGCTGTACAAGTATAAATAGATCGCAAACACTGCCACTCAATTTTAGTTGTGTCCCTATTCATTAGGAGCGCTACTCTCTGTAGCACGTAAATTTACCCCTAGATTTAGTTTTCGATAAGATTTATATGAATATATAATATAGAAAAGATAAACCTGAGTAAATTGAACAAATGAAATGAGAACAAAATATACGCGTATAAAATTTTATAATATTTTCAACTAAATCACAAATATGTTTTCTCAAAATTTTATAATATAAAATACTACATTTTCTGTTGAGTGAAGAAAACACTAAATCATGGTAATAGTGTATTCCAATAAGAGTGCTATTGGAATTTTAAATTAGTTTTTTAATTTTTTCGATTTTTACCTTTCCGAAGGAGAAGTTTGTTTTCGTCAAAATATTCGATTTGCTAATTTTATGTTTTCTCGACATTTCAAGCCATTCTGAATCGAATGCGACTAATTTTCGATTTTTTTTTCTGTATAGAAAAGGTAATGTCTTTACGCATCCCAGACTAGGTCTTTTGTCTGGGTATGTCGGACTCACACCGCCTGGGTATAATACCGACTAAAATGTCCTAAATTGCCTCTGGTCTCAAACTAAAATAAATTGCTTCTGTTCTGGAAACCGCCGTCAGGCATTACTTCGTGGGAGAAGGATCTAGAATGTTATAATTTTTACCTTGATTTTAAACTTATCTTTTAATTGAGCGAAGTCCCGTTCGCCCTTTCTCTTTCCATAGAACTTACGTCAATTAGCACATCTAAAATAAAAGAAAAAAGTCTTCTTGGAAAAATATGCGTGTGTGAACAGATTATTGAAATTTCATCGATGTTTTCTCAAAAACTGCTGAACCGATTTCAAAATATGAACTATTAGCGTTTGTCAGCTTTTTGCGGCGATCGGCTGAGCCGTTTCTTTGGAAATAGCAAAATGTGAAAAAAATGTCTACGTTTTAGCCCGCAATTCTGATTCGATTTCAAATCGGGTGATTAATTTTGTACAAAGATCGGTCAAGCCGTTTCTTCGTAATTAACTGTAGAAACAAAAGTTTTTATTCAAACTTTTTATTTTGATAGATATCATAGTCTTATAGAAATACTGAAAGGTTACGGCCCTGTAATAAGTCAATGTTTTAAAATCTATAACAAAAGTATTTTCTCTTGTTGTTAGTGTCTTTGATCGTGAGCACTGTTGTTTAGTTTACGAAACTTAATATAATTTTTAAGTACACGTTATTTAATTGTTTTATAAGATGTATTGTTGATTTTAAGTTAGATTTAACAGTTTTTTTTATATAACCTTTACAAAAGCTTACACGTGTGTGGGGTAAAAAGAACCAACTGAACCTTTTACCCTGGCAAAGGTGTAAAAAATAAAAAATAGATGAAAATAAGTTAAAAACAGCAATTTTACTTGAGTTAAAGTAAATAAATAGTTATTCCAAGTGTGCTGATGAATATTTCTGTTAAAATACCAGATCAAGGTTATATACAGTGTAAAAGATGGCCCCATAAAATTTATATTTTGCATTGGTTGAATAATGTAGCTATTATTTCGTAAAATTTCTTTGAAATTAAAAATAAGACATTGGACCTATAAAAAGGACCAGTTGACAAATTTTTGAATAACAGCAAAAAAACACATTTCTACAATGATGATTTAGCTGGGAGTTTTACTATAGTTGTTTGATTATTTATTGTAATGTTGTTTAAGACTTTTAGTATATAAAAATAGTTATAGAAACTGATTTTGTGCAACAATTCTTTTTAGGTATGGCAATTTTAATAGTGCCTAAGGATGTAACAAGAGATCCAGAGCGTCTCGTCAAAATGCTGACACAGTATAAGGTACAAGTTATATATATATATATATATATATATATATATATATATATATATATATATATACTTATACCTTATATATCACATTTTTCTATCCACAGATCGAACGATTAGTCCTAGTACCATCCCTTCTGCGATCAATGCTATTTTTCCTGTCCCTTCAAAAGGATGACAACCTTCTCTCCAGTTTGCGATTGTGGGTATGTTCCGGCGAACAATTGGCAGTTTCTTTGGCTCAAGAATTTTTCAAAAGTGTTCGACATCCAAAACCAATTTTGTGTAACTTTTACGGAAGCACTGAAGTCATGGGTGACGTCACTTATTACGTCTGCGATGGATTGGATTGTCTTAAGGATGCCGAAAAAGTACCCATAGGTGATAATAGACATATAATTGGGTTAAAAGGAATAAAATTTAGTTATTCTTTTAATTTGTAGGTGATCCAGTGGACAACACGATTGTATATTTACTTGATCCAGAACTGAGACCTGTGGCTGTAGGTGAACCTGGAGAATTGTATGTCTCAGGACTAAATCTGGCAGCTGGTTATGTTAATGGACGTGATCCTGAACGATTTATACCAAATCCTTTGGCTATTGAACCAGGTTAGTACACTTCGGAACCGATTCTGCCGCATAATAGACAAATGATACGACAAGTCTATGTTAAGAAGAACTTTCCATACAAATTCGTTCTGAGTATTGATAAAAGTCATGCGGTTGCTGTGCAGTCAGGCGTATTTCACAGATTGTCAGATAGAAAACTTAAACTGGAAACTAGGGTTTGTCGGTTTTCAAAACCCGTTTTTTGGCAAAAATTTTGGAATTCGCATACCGGTTCTCTAGTGAAAAAAGTCCGTTTTCACTGTATAAATAAAAAATGACAAATACAGCCAAATATAAAAGATAGATGAAAGCGTTCTGATTCTTGAAATCATATCGGTTCAACAGTATTTGATATCTTATTAGTCTACAATGGGTCCCAGAAAGGTTTTGTTCATATTAATTTAGATTTTTATACCAGTGTACATATTAATTTAAATCAGAGTGCCTTCTTCTTGAACAAGTAACTTCCTCTACTCAAACTTAAAAAAAGAGTTTTAAACCCTAGAAGACACAAATTAAATAACAAAAAACTTACCAGGCTTTAAAAACAATTAAGCATAATTTGGTCGCAAGTATGAGAGTACTTACTATTTCAAAAAATTTTGTGAGTAAACAATAAAGGACACGTCTAAGTAGCAATTTGATAGATGTTTTCAGTTTTTTTAAATCATATTTTATTAAACAAAAAAACAATTAGAATGTTTAAAATTAATTAAAATTGCTCGGAACAGACAATATGCGAGTTTAGCTTAATTGTTTTTAAAACTAAAATTGATATTAACAAGTATGTATCAACATGTATCTAAAATATTTTTCATTTTTTTTAATTCAATGAATGTTTTTTATTTAAAAATGTAATATTTTAATTTATTCGAAAACTTCTTATATGTGAAAATGAATAAAGCATAATTATTTTCAAAGTTATTTAATCAAGATAAACTATTATTAACTAAAAATTTTTTTAGTTCTACTAATAATTTTGTTTATTATCTATAAAATTGAACAATGAATAAATTCAGTCAAATACTGCTTTAAATTACACTAAATTTGCGGATAAATTACAGGATATTCGAGCAATAATTTATTTTCTATATAAAATTCGAAAACCGAAAACCGGTTTTTTAGTAAAATTAAAATTCGAAAACCGGTTTTCTGAAATGTCGGTTTTTGTATAAACCCTACTAGAAACCGCACAAATGTCACAAGAACGATGTTAGATAACAGGGTCTTTCTGACCCATCTTCATAACATACAAGTGGCATTGCAGTTTATGTGTAAAACGCCTGAATGCACAGCAAATATATAATATTTTGACAGTATTCAGTATGATTTAGTAGCATAATGCATAGAACTTGGACATTTGTCTGTTATGCGGCAGAATCAGCCCCTTTGTCTTAGTATAATTTGAGCTAAAACTTGAATATAAAATATTTGTTTTTTATTTTTTAGGGCATTCAAGATTGTATCGTACAGGAGATTTTGCCAGAATCCAGAAGGGCACTTTGCAATATGAAGGCAGAACTGATTCCCAAGTTAAAATTCGTGGTCACAGAGTTGATTTGTCGGAAGTTGAAAAGGCTGTTCTGAAGGCACCGGCTGTTTCTAAAGGTAAAAAATTATAATATATTATAATAAATTATATATATCATAAAATATTTTAGCAAAAGGTAACCCAATATGTTATTTAACTTCACGTAGGGTAATAGTAATAGTAATGGACTGAAAATCGAAAATGAAAATTTTTTCATTTCTCGACGTTTTGAAGGTTTCTGAACATTTTGGCATACCTCAGAAAAAATGAATATGTGTGTATGTGTGTGTGTGTGTGTTTTGTATATCTGCAAACCAATTTGAATGGTTCAAAAAACATTCTATTCGTATTGACGTGGTGAATAATTATTTAATTTTTGACAAAAGCAGGTCCAACGGATTCGGAGATTCATGAAAAAAAGTTAAGAAAATGCCATTTGGCAGTTGAAAATCAGATATTTCGACAAACATCTATTTTCAAAAAATTTCCAAGTTTTAAAAAAAAAAATTAAAAAATACCAGCATTGTAAAAAGTTCAATTAATAAAAAACGCCTTTTTTTAAAATTATAATTCTTGCAAATTCAAAATTTGCATATTATTGCAAAATATCGGATTTTCGAGTACAAATGATGTTTTTTGCACTTTTGTTAAAAATTTCAAATTTTGAAATGTGTTAAAATTTTTTAAAAAGTTCGAAAAAATTGAAAATTCTCAAGTAAAAAATGTAATGTTTTCTGAACTTATACAAATTTTAAATTAAGGCTTGGATTTTTCTTCCAAAAACAATTATTATGTCAAAACAAGCAGAAAGTTTTTTGAATCATTCAAATCGGATGCTTAATTCTCTCAAAAACTGACATTTTTTTCACATCTAGCTCGGTATCTCGCAAAGGCAGGTCATCCCGTTTCGGTGATAGGAAGCAAAGAGTGCAGAAAATACAAATCGAGTTTTTGAGAGAACGGAGTATCGAATTTGAATGATCTTAAAACATTCAATTTGTAATGAATAGTTTTTGGCAAAGACAGGCCCGGCCGTTTCGGAGATACGAGCTAAATGTGCAAAAAATGACAGTTTTTGAGTGAACTAAGCGTCCGATTTGAATGATCTAAAAAACTTTCTGCTTGTATTGACAAAACAATTGCTTTTGATGATAAAAAATTATTACATCTTTTTTTGTTTTCCATAAAATATTTTTCTAAACTTGGATTAAAAATTTAAAAAATTACCCAGGCTAAGCACAGTCTAAGCGCCACTCTGGTACAAATGTTTACCCAAGTGCGTTTATACGGTTTATGTTCTAGAGCAGTTTTACAATTTTGTTAAAACTATTGAAAAATGTGAAAATGCCGCCAAGCTAAGCACAGTATAAGTGAAAATGTCGCACAGAATTATTTGCAAATGCGTTTAGACTGTGACTTTTTCAATTTTGTGTAATTTAGGCCACTATTTTTTTTTTGAAATTGAATTCGAAATGAAATCGCGATTGTTAATGTTCCAGGAGATAAATTGATTTATGATTTACATTTGATTTGCTCAGATATAACAAGATAGCAATAATAATGAAAGTTACAGTATTTGTAATAATATATTTGAAAACGTTTAAAATTTCTCGAATATTTCATTACGGTACGGGAAGTTCCAGCAATTTGCCTTAAGGCACGATGCCATACACCACTAGTTTATTTATCTATTTTTCTAGGTGTCGTCTTATGTTATCGTCCAGGTGAGATGGACCAAGCCCTACTGGCATTTGTTACTTGTGAAACTGATAAAATGACAGGACTACAGATTGAAGAAAATTTAAAAGGCTCCTTAGCCTTATACATGATCCCACAGGTAATTATGTTAAAAGGAATCACAATATAATAATAAATCAATAAATAAAAATATTACCAGACTGTTATATAAATTATTTCCATTTGTTTCAGGTTATTGTTTTGGATTACATTCCGCTTTTGGTAAACGGCAAAATTGATAGACAAGCTCTTTTGAAAATGTACGAAAACACAAATAATAATGGTAAGATTTTAAATTATATAAAATTAAGGCAAATAAATTAATGGGTATTATTGTTCTAAAAGCGCAGCCCATTATTCCAAATTTTATTGAGTTTATATTAGGGTTTATACAAAAACCGACATTTCAGAAAACCGGTTTTCTAATTTTAATTTTACTAAGGGTTTTAACCGGTTTTCGAATTTTATATAGAAAATAAATTTTTGATCAAATATCCTGTAATTTATTCGCAAATTTAGTGTAATTTAGAGCAGTATTTGACTGAATTTATTTATTTTTCAATTTTATAGATAGTAAACAAAATTATTTTGATTTTAATTAGTAGATCTAAAATATAATAGTTAATCTTGATTGAATAACTTTGAAAATAATTATTCGTTATTCATGCATCATTTTCACGTATAAGAATAAAAATATTTTTATGATAGTGAAAGGAAAGTTTTCGAATTAACAAAAATATTACATTTTTAAATAAAAAACATTCATTAAACTAATATTAGATACATACTTGTGAATATCAATTTTAGTTTTAAAAACAATTAAGCTAAACTCGGGAATTGTCTGTTCCAAGCAATTTTAATTTTTTAATTTTAAACATTCTAATTGTTTTTTATTTAATAAAATATGATTTAAAAAAACTGAGAACGTCTATCGAATTGCTTAATAATTAATAATATTGCGACCAAAATGCTTAATAAGTTTTTGTTCTTTGTGGCTTCTAGGGTTTAAAACTCTTTTTTTAAGTTAGAGTAGAGGAAGTTACTTCTTCAAGAAAAAGTCACACTGATTTAAATTAATATGTACACCGGTATAAAAATCTAAATTAATATATACAAAACCTTTCTGGGAACTATTGCAGACTGATAAGATATCAAATACTATTTTTCATTTATGAAGTGAAAACCGACTTTTTCACTAAAAACCGGTTTTAGAATTCCATAATTTTCGCAAAAAAACGGTTTTTAAAACCGGTTTTTGAAAACCGACAAACCCAAGTTGTTAACATATCTAAGAATTTATTAAGTCTTTGAAAATCGTTTACAAATAGTTCAAACATTTTTGTTTATTTTATTACAATAATTACCATTTTATGCATTTTAATATGCATACAAATCTTAAATTGACAAAAAACTTGGGAATCAAAACCAATTTTGTAATTAGTTTTGAAGAGAAAATATAGAATTCTTTGAATATGTTTATTTTTATATGAAAATAATGCAGTGAACCTTATATATGAAATAAGAACAAATCTTTGTGTATAATATTTTTCACAAAATAATAATACCTCATATTCGTTTATTCCAAAATTAATTATACATCAGGTAGTTCGATTAGCATACTGTTACTTTTACACAATTATAAAATCATAATTGTGTAAAAGTTATAATATAATACTAAATATTTTTTAGCTGGTTGTATACCATTGAAAAAGCTCATTTATGGACAAACATTATCGTATACAGAATATAGAATACAAAATAGCATTATTTTGAGACATTATATACCTGGAAAGTCCTAAAACTGGCTGTGAGACGAGAAAAAAAGACACTTTTTTCGATCCAAATCTTTGTATTAGTAAAAAATCTCAAGCAAATATCTGCACATGTTAACAGATTTAGGGAAGTCGTATATGACAAATCCTTTGAGACAACTCCACTCGGATTCACTCCGAGGGAGTTTGTATTCATAACTTCGTTTTCCTTTGGATTGGAAATAATATTTACTTAAAAATATATTTATTACCTTTTGTAATACTAATATCAATGATTATTTATTCAAAATATATTTCTTCTGCAGATGATAGCAGTATAATAGTGGACATAGATTACTCTGGAATTCCCGAAAATAAAATGGCAGCAGCAAAAGTTCTATTCGAGACTGTTGGAAATGTCATTGGAAGGAGCACTAGGGCCCCCTTGAGCAAATATTCAAATTTTTACGAATTGGGTGGAAATTCTTTGAATTCAGTTTATACAGTCACCCAGTTGAGGGATAGTGGATATTTTATTGGTAAGTTGGAAAATTATATTATACTAGCTGACCCGGAAAACGTTGTTTTGCTAAGTAAGGTATATTCTAAACAATTTCTAGAGAAACAAAAAAATTAATACTTCAAGTGTTGTTTGAATGCTATATACAATGAGGTATTATAAAAACAATAAACCCCATTAGTTTGTTTATATTTTGTCAATACAATCAAACCGGAAGTTTTATACACTTTCTATAGAAAACATGGTATATTCCAATCCAAGTCTTTTTTGGTCTTTCGACTTATTGATTACGTTTCAAGTTTTTCAGATTCTTTTTGGATTCTGGATTTTGTGTATAATTGTAAATAATACTACTGAGCTTATAAAAAATCTTCAAAATTCTGCAAGGAGAGATAGAAATTGAATTAAGTATTTCTTTTATGACCTGCTTTTTGAAAAGTTTCAAGTAACATTTGATGAATTGAAGAAAATTTAATAAAAGGTATATATGTAGAGTAGGGCGAAGCACAAAGGTCCAATTTGACTTTGAGCAAATATTAATCATATTATAAAAATCGAACCAATTATATCACAACAAATAACACATTTCAAAAGAACAATTATCTGACTACGTTCAGTGAAACTGCCAGCTACTTCATCATTGTCGAAATGTGCTTTTTTGATGTCTTTCAAAAATTTGTTGTCTAGACCTTTTTTTTGTTGTAACTTAGAACGGCCAGGTGGCAAACGGGTATAATGTCTTATTTTAATTTAAAGGGTATTTTACAAAATAATTACACTTTTAACTAATGATAAAAAACTACCAACGGAAGTAAAATACTTTTATTATGGATTTTCAAAGATTACCTTTTATCTCCCGATAGCAAAGTCATGAGAATCAAGGTTATAGCTGGTTATATATCTTTTTCCCTCTACTTTCAAATATTGTTGTTAAACAATGCTTAACATTACTGGTTTTTGACACATCGGTGGTGGACCTTTTTAACCCTGTTTTTTTGTATATTACTATCTATTCTTCGATAAATTCTGGGAAATTATTACTGGAAAAGTGTTATTCGACAAAATGTCCCTTTGATCGATACCAAATTTAGGTTCTGAATTAAAATAACATAAATAAAAAATAATATAACCTAGAAAATGTTTTATAAATACCCATGATTACATAATTATACAAATTAGATCTTTCAGAGCACCTTGTTTTAGAAAAATATGCCAAAAAGTGCATTTTCATATTAACATTTCAAAAAAGTTGATATTTTGAGTTTCTAGTAACACTTGCGGCGCATTTAATAACGTTTTTGTGCATAAATATAACTACAAACAACTACATACGACAATTTAATCATAATTAAATAATATTCACGTATTCACATCCTATTAAACGTAATTGAAAATCATCTGTCAAAAACTTTTGACATTTGACGTATTAGCCACCGTTCATTGTTTTATTCAAATTACGCTTCTACAAAAATTTTCGAATTAAAAATGTGAAGTTTCTACGCGATTTTGAAATAATATCTCATCTTTCCGACAACCTACTGATTAGCATAAATTTTTCAAGACTAAGACTGGCCAAATCGGTTAAGCCGTTTTCGAGTTTTACCGCATCATTCGATCGAGAGCTTCATTTTTATATATAAGATATTATAGTAAGAAATGTTAAGTTATATATTTATTTTTCAGGTATAACTGATTTCATAACAGCAGAAAATTTAGGTGAAGTTCTAGATAGAATTACAGGATCTGATACAGGTTTAGCAGATACAAAATTAACAGCATCTTACACATCAGCACCACTTTCTATGGAACATAAAGAAGATGTTTATCAGTAAGTAATAAAATGAATCAAATATGCATAGTACAATTTCTAAATAATTCATTATCAATTATTTATTTTATTATTTTTAGAATGGTGACGAATAGTTTCTACGAAAAGGCTGATTTAGAACAGTGGCTGATGCCCAATATATACAAAAGCGACTATGCCGAAATTTTGGACGCCATTTGGGAAGCTCTTATCGAAAAAGGTCTAAGTTTTGTTGTAAAAGATAAAAGTGGTGAAAATGTCGGAGTCGCCTTAAATTTTGATGCCAGGGGAGAACCTGAAGTTGAAGTTACTAGCAAATTGCTGATTGTCTTCGAGTTTTTGGAGCACATCGAGGGACCCGTTAGGTAAAGATTAGTATTTTAACCGAATTTTCTCGATATTTTCCTAAAAACGACTGGACCGATTTCAAAAATTTAAAGGCCATTCGATGTAATCGATAAGGACTAGTGTAAGCGCCCGGCGCAATATTTCTTAAGAAAGTCAATTAAAAAAACACTACACATGGATACTTTACTACCCTGAAGGACCAGATATAATTTATTATTAGAATGGCTATATCAGACCTTCAAAAATGAGTAGATTAAATAAATTGGTTTAGTAATTAATAGTATTTATTTGTTTGATGTTCACGGTTCAAGTTTTGCGTACAGAATGAGGATGAATTTCTTAAAAACTATCTTATTACCTAGAGCAGGGTAGGAAATTATTTTATTATGTCAAGTAGAGGAAGATGGATTAATAAAATTTGTGAGGCTCGAACAACTAGTGTTTGTCAGTTTTGTGCGAGGATCGCCCGAGCCGTTTCTTTGTTTTTAGCAAAAACGTGAAAAGCTTTTCGTCTTCTTTTAGCCCACAATTCTGAATGGAATTTAGAAAATTCACAAATTTTATGAGAAGGCAATTTATTTTTCAGCAGTTTTTTCATAATTATTATAATTTTTTTTTAACGATTATGATGAAACTTTTTAGAATAGAATTTAGAAGATAGAATTTCGTAGTCGGAAATAACATACTTAAATACTGTTGGTGCATGGCATTGTGCCTTAAGGCGAATTGCTGAAACTTCTTGAATCAAAAATTAAAATTAAAAGGCTATTATAATTTTAACATTTTTTTTAAATTTTGTATACTTCAGATTTTTGAGAATTTTGACATTTTTAAAAAAAAGATTGGAAATTTCATTTGTTTCTTATATTTTAACTTTTTTAACTTTCCGTATTGTAAGCTATAGTAATCGCAAAAAAATCGGAAATGAAAATTTTTATATATTTTTACGTTTCAGAGGTTTCTGAGCAATTAGGCGTACCTCAAAAAAAAAATATGTTTGTGTGCGAATAGAAATTTTCGTCGACGATTTCGGGAACACGGGTTATCCGAATTGATTTCCTATTAATAAAATTTTAATTATTATTTCAAAAAACATTTGATTCCTATTAATAATGAGACGTGCTAATTAGTTTTTGAACAAGGCAGGTCCAGCAGTTTCGAAGACACGGGGAAAAAAGAGTCAAAAGTAGTAATTCAGTTTTTGAGAGAATAGAGCGTTCGATTTGAATAATTCAAAAAACATTTTATTTATATTGACTAAATGAAGAACTGTTTAAAGGCAGGTCTAGCTGTTTCGGAGATCCAATAAAAAAGTGACAAAAAATGCAATTTGGCGGTCAAAATTGATCATTAGAGACATGCCCATGAAATTATCAAATTTTATAGTAATTTTATTAATATGTTCAAATTTCGTTTACATTTCTATGGGTTTCGTAATTATATTTTTCCGATAGACTGCTACGCGGCGCTTACGCGCTTTGATATTTTTTCTAACACAGCCACGCAACAAGATTGCTTTGATAAAAAAGTCAAAATTTTCAAAAAAAATTCAATACATAAAAATAATCAAATTTTTCAATAATTTAAAAATTTTAAAAATCTCTTTTTTTCAAAGTATTCAAAAAATTTTAAGGCTTTTTTTAAAAAATATACTATTTGGTACGGGAAGTTGCAGCAAATTGGCAAATTGACACAACGACATTCACTACTAGTTTTTGAAAATACTGCAATTTTTTGAATAGACGAGGTCACAGTTTAACGGATGAATATTGGTACGGAACCCATAAAAATGTAAACAAAATTTGCACCTATTATCAAAATCTCTATGAAATATTTGATAATTTGATGTGCATATGTCTAATGATCATACTTTACCATCAAATGTCTATTTTTTTTTATTGGATCGTTTTTGGCACTTTTTGTTCCGTATCTCCGGAACGGCTGGACCTGCCTTTGCCAAAAACTAATAAGCACATCTCCTTATCAATAGGAATCGAATGTTTTTCGAATTATTCAATTTCGTTGATCCGTGTTCATCTAAATAGTTGCAGCTCAATTATCGTGAAGTCCATGCAACTCGCCTCAAGGCTCAATTCCACATACAACTAACATCTTTATTTATTTAATTTTACAGAGATGAACGACTTCCACCTGGTTTGAATACAGTATTTCATTCATTCATGATGGCCACAGCCTCGAAATTAACAGCTCAACAAAATATTAGTGTCATGCAATTTATGGAAGCAGAAGTTTTACGAACCGCCACTTCCAGGGGCTTCAAAGGCATCCTTACTACAAATACAAGTCCCCTGACACAGGTAATAATAAAATTAAAAATACAATGAGATATATATATATATATATATATATATATATATATATATCTTCTATATATATAAAAATAAGTCGGGTTTTCCTTCCTGACGAATTAACTCCAGAACGCACGAACCGATTTCGACAATTTTGCATTCGTTGGAAAGGTCTCGGGCTCCGCAAGGTTTAAAGCTAAGAAAATTAGTTGTGCATGACATCAATTTTGTGAAAACTATTGAAAAATGTGAAAATGCCGCCAAGCTAAGCACAGTATAAGTGCAAATGTCGCACAGAATTTAGTTTAGCATTTCTTTAATTAACTTCTCAAGTTATAGTAATCGCCTAAAAATCGTAAATGAAAATTTTTAATATCTTTACGTTTCAAAGCTTTTTGAACATTTTGACATACCTTAGAAAAATGGATGTATGTGTGTGTGTGTGCGTGTATGTATGTGTGTTCGGATACAAATTTTCGTCGACGATTTCGGAAACACGGATGAAGCGATTTGAATAATTCAAAAAACATTCGATTCGTATTGATAAGGAGACGTGCTCGTTAGGTTTTGGCAAAGGCAGGTCTAGCCGTTCCGAAGATACGGGGCAAAAAGTGCCGAAAACGGTAACTCAGTTTTTAAGAGAACGGAGCGTCCGATTTGAATAATTCAAAAAACATTTTACTTGTATTGACAAGATGAAGAATTGATCAAATTTTCATAAAGGCAGGTCTAGCGGTTTCGGAGATCTAATGATAAAAGTAAAAAAAAATGCCATTTGGCGGTCAAAAATGATCATTAGACATATGCACATCAAATTATCAGATATTTTATAAAAATTTTAACAATAAGTATAAATTTTGAATACATTTCTATGGGTTCCGTACCAATGTTTACCCGTTAGACAGCGACGCGGCGCTTACGCGCTTTATATTTTGTCTCTATGCAGTTGAAGCAGTACGATTGCTTTGAAAAAAGTTCAGATCTTCCAACATATGTCAAAATAAACAAAACATTTTTTTTTCAAAAAAAAAAAGATTTAAAAAAAAATTATTTTTTTCAATTTTTTTTTTCAAAAAAGTCATTTTTTGTCCAATTTATAGTTTCTCACAAATCTTATTTTTTTTAAGTAAATTTTTTTCAAAAATGTTAATCGTTTTTAAAAAAATAATCATTTTTGGTACGGGAAGTTCCAGCAATTTGCCTTAAGGCACGATGCCTTAATTGCCTTAAGACAGAATTCCACTTACAGCTAGTTTACATTTGATTTGCTCAGATATAACAAGATAGCAAAAATAATGAAAGTTACAGTATTTGTAATAATGTATTTGAAAACGTTTAATATTTTTCGAATATTTCGTTACGGTACGGAGGGTTCCAGCAATTTGCCTTAAGGCACGATGCCATACACCACTAGTTTATTTCATAATTTGACTAAATTTTTTCAGCAATTGGGGACGGACGTGTACGGCTACACAGTAATGACCGATTGCCAAGTAAACCAATATGTGGCTCCTGATGGAACCAAACCTTTTGGTGCAGCACCGGATTCACAGAGGGCAGCAGTCTCTTGGAAAGCAATTAACTAAGCAAATCATCTAATAATAAGGTGTGCATTCATCTTTTATCTTTCGTTATGTAAAAATATCATTGTTAAATTAATTTATTCATTTTATATACATTTTTATTGAACTATTGTAATAAGAAACACATCATTAGAATAAGATATAAATTAGATTTTAATAAGTAAGGTGAAAGGTTTGTGCATTTTTATTAAATAATTTAAATATTTAGATATAGTGAGAGTTAGACAAGTTATTATTTAAGATGAAATTACAATAATAGTTAACATATAATGATTAAGGATGGTTTTTAATATCGATAATATAAAAAAATATTCTCTAAGTTTTAAGTCTTAATATTAATTTTTAGATAGTCCGCACTTCAACCAAAGTTTCTTTGTTTTTCTTTCTAAGTAAATACTTATGTTACAAAATATCAAAATTTTGTTGTAATTTTTTATTTATGATCAAAATAAGTTAGTCTCAAAATTTTGATTCACTTGTCGCTAAGTTATAAAATCCAAAAAAACAAATGGAATTTTACCAATGTTATTTTCATAATAAATTTTGATTTAATTGCGGACTATCTTAAAGTTGATATTAGTAGCTAAAACTTTCAGAGAATTTTCTTTTATCAATTTGGAAGCATTTGAGCCCCTGGGAGTGAGGAAATTTGAAAACATCCATATTGAAAACCACCCTATAATATATAAAGGATAAAACTATTTGGACTTTGTCAATTGTATTATGATGAAATTAATTATGTCAGAAATAAAATATGTACAAATTTTAATTTTGGTTTAAATATATAATATTTTACACACGTTTTTTTAATTATGACTATCAATTAGTAAAATGTAATTATGATTACAAATAATTGCACAGTTATTAATAATTTATTTCAAATTTGTAGTATCAGTACATTTAAATAAATCTATAAAAACAATTGTTTTTATTAACTTCCCGGACTAAAATTTTTTTGACTAAAAATTTTTTTGTCAAAAATTTTTTTGTCAAAAATTTTTTTGTCCAAAATTTTTTTTGACCAAAATTTTTTTTACCAAAATTGATTTTTCAGAAATTTTTTGGTCCAAAAATTTTTTTGACCAAAATTTTTTTTGTCCAAAAATTTTGTGTCCAAAAATTTTTTTGACCGAAATTTTTTTGACCAAAAATTTTTTCGACCAAAAATTTTTTTGTCCAAAAATTTTTTTGATCAAAACTTTGTCCAAAAATTTTTTTGACCAAAATTTTTTTCCCAAAAATTTTTTTCCTAAAATTTTTTGGACCAAAATTTTTTTCAAAAATTTTTTTGACCAAAATTTTTTTTTTCAAAATTTTTTAGACCAAAATTTTTTTGTCCAAAATTTTTTTGACCAAAATTTTTTTGACCAAAATTTTTTGTCCAAAATTTTTTTGACCAAAATTTTTTTGACCAAAAATTTTTTTCCCAAAATTTTTTTGACTAAATTTTTTTTGACCAAAAATTTTCTTCCCAAAATTTTTTTGACCAAAATTTTTTTCCCAAAATTTTTTCGACCAAAGTTTTTTTGACCAAAATTTTTTTCCCAAAATTTTTTTGACCAAAATTTTTTTGTCCAAAATTTTTTTGACCAAAATTTTTTGGATCAAAATTTTTTTGACTAAAATTTTTTTTCCCAAAATTTTTTGACTAAAATTTTTTTGTCCAAAAATTATTTTGACCAAAATTTTTTTGTCCAAAAATTTTTTTGACCAAAATTTTTTTGTCCAAAAATTTTTTTGACCAAAATTTTTTTGATCAAAAATTTTTTTGTCCAAAAATTTTTTTGTCCAAAAATTTTTTTGTCCAAAAATTTTTTTGACCAAAATTTTTTTGTCCAAAAATTTTTTTGACCAAAATTTTTTTGTCCAAAAATTTTTTTGACCAAAAATTATTTGCACCGTACCTAATTATTTATTTCAAATAGTGATACAATAATAATATTAACTGATATATAATTGTTACATTTTGATTAAAGAAACGTATGGGTAAATTTTACTGAACTTATGAAGCAAATACCTCTTTTCTTTAAGTTTCATGTGCTACCCTGACATTTTCAACCAGATCCTTTTAATCCGCTAGTTATTACATTACAACTTTTGTTAGGGTATCATCATTTATACTTATTTATCTATGGGTATCATCATAAACAATCTTATACACGGTAAAATACTAGTCGTTATGCCAGTTATTATTAAACATGGCACGAGATGGCGCCAAACGTAAATGCATTCGGCATTTACAACGGTTACATCAAGATCCTTTAGAGCAGATCCCCATTGATCTTCTGATCTTGATTTTTGTGATTGCGGAAAATTATTGTAAAGACTTGAAACGTCGAGAAATTGAATCTTAAAAATCTTTTTCACTTTCATTATAATCTGATTGACAACTTGTCAGAGGAAAGTCAGGTCGGTTGCCGGGGTGAAAGTTGAATTTCATATGTATTGACAGTTTTGTTTTCAATATTCATTTATATTAAGTTGTCAATCATTTAGTAATTGATCTTTTTTCATCGGCGCCGTCCTTAATCGTAACTTATCATAACTATTATTTATATATTGCAAGTAGTATTTAAATTATATCGAAATTGCGCATAAAATAAATGGCACAACATTAAAAGTAGAACAATTCCAACGATCGATGTATAAATTTATACATCATAAAAAAATGAAATACATAAACTGACCCCGCTCGCGGATTCGAACTCGGAACCCAACGCTACGACTACCGCCTATGCAACCAAACGATTTAACAATCTCGACCACTAGCGTGTCTTGCAATTGTCTTGCAATTATATAACATCAAATTGTATAACTTGCAGCATTAGACATGTCGATATGGCGCCATATGGCATATGGCGCACGCTTCAAAATACTGCGAATTCGACTATGAAACATCGACCCAAAAGCCGTTTCGTCGCACTCGGGTTGCAAAACTCGGGAGCCCAAGAGTCCCCCAGGGACCGGCTTTAATGTCAAGTGAGAATCAATCACTTCTGTCAGGCCTCTCGTTAGCACCATGCCTCGAGGTCCGCTGGAGCAGAACCTGATTCGGTCGTCTCATCTTGATTTTTGTTGGATCGCGGACTCGGGAGATAACGGTATGGTGCCTCTATCTTCTCCCGTTGTCTGCGGCTATTGGGGGGGCACTGACAGCAGGGGGCTGTCAGTTTTGTGTGTTGCATGTAGCATGGTGTGTTGCATGGTACGTGTGAGCGAGTGAGAAGCGTTCGCGTTCGTCGACATTGGAAGACCGGGTCCAGAGTCGACTAGCGATCGCAGCGTGAAATGGGCGATCGTGGCATATGCCGGACTTTGGAAAACCGGATTTCAAAGTCTTCGTCGATCGCAGAGTGAATCCTCCCCCTCGTGGCTGACACCTTATCGTGGTGAGGGGGTCCAGTTGGGCGATAGCCGTCCAATTGCCAAGAGCAGCCGTCTATTTAACTTTGTATAACTATTGTGTACTAGTTATACTAATATTATACTTCAAATTCAATTGAATTAATAAATATATTTACTTGTTCGTCCATCGTTGCTTTCGGGTATTAGAACTTCGGTCATGCTTCATGAAGATTCCAACGAAACTTTTGATCAATTTCAATTTCTCAACTTGATTCTATGCGCCTTTGAAATGTGTGAAACATGTGGAGTTTTGACATGTTTTGAAATAATCTCATTTCACCAATTATAAAAGGTAATCCATATTGTTTGTTGTATATGCAAATACAAGTTTTTAAATTTAATTGAATTAATAATATGTTGTGTAGATTTATTATATATAGGATATATTTAAACTGCACCTTATTGCTGAAAGTTTACTACATATGCGACAGATGTCGCGTCCATCATAATTTATTCATATGCATTTTTCAATAGCACATTCTCTTGAATATATAGAATGCATGTGCCTTTGCGGGTATTAAAACTTCGGTTACCAAATTTTTTTTCCTTAAAACTTTCTTCCCAAAATTTTTTTGACCAAAAATTTTTAACCCAAGATTTTTTGGACCAAAAATTTTTTGTCCAAAAATTTTTTTGACCAAAAACTTTTGTACCATACCTAATTATTTATTTCAAATAGTGATACACTAATAATATTAATTAATATATAACTGTTACATTTTGATTAAAGAAACGTATTAGTAATTTTACTGTGAACACGGTGAACCTGCCAGTTATTATAAAACATGGCACGAGATGACGCCAAAACATTTTTTGGCCAAAATTTTTTTTGACCAAAAATTATTTCCAAATTTTTTTTTGACCAAAATTTTTTTGACCAAATTTTTTTGGGCCAAAATTTTTTTGACCAAATTTTTTTGGGCCAAAAGTTTTTGGGCCAGAATTTTTTTGACCAAAATTTTCTTGACCAAATTTTTTTGGGCCAAAATTTTTTTGCCCAAAATTTTTTTGACCAAATTTTTTTTGGGCCAAAATTTTTTGAGCCAAAATTTTTTTGACCAAAATTTTTTTGACCAAATTTTTTTAGGCCAAAATTTTTTTGACCAAATTTTTTTTGGGCCAAAATTTTTTGACCAAAATTTTGTGGACCAAAATTTTTTGGACCAAAATTTTTTGGACCAAAATTTTTTGGACCAAAATTTTTTTGACCAAAATTTTTTTGCCCAAATTTTTTTGAGCCAAAATTTTTTTGACCAAATTATTTTTGGGCCAAAATTTTTTTGACCAAATTATTTTTGGGCCAAAATTTTTTTGACCAAATTTTTTTGGCCAAATTTTTTTTGGGCCAAAATTTTTTTGACCAAATTTTTTTGGGCCAAAATTTTCTGGTCCAAAATTTTTTTGACCAAAATTTTTTGGGCCAAAATTTTTTGGGCCGAAATTTTTTGGGCCAAAATTTTTTGGGTCAAAATTTTTTTGGGTCAAAATTTTTTGACCAAAATTTTTTGGGCCGAAATTTTTTGGGTCAAAACTTTTTTGACCAAAATTTTTTTTGACCAAAATTTTTAGACCAAAATTTTTTGGGTCAAATTTTTTTTTCCCAAAAGTTTTTGGGCCAATTCTTTTGGGTCAAAATTTTTTGGGTCAAAATTTTTGGGCCAAAATTTTTTTGACCAAATTTTTTTTGACCAAAATTTTTTTGGGCCAAAATTTTTTGGGTCAAAATTTTTTGGGCCGAATTTTTTTTGACCAAAATTTTTTTGGGCCAAAATTTTTGGGGTCAAAATTTTTTGGGTCAAAATTTTTTTTGTGTCAAAATTTTGTGGGCCAAAATTTTTTGGGTCAAAATTTTTTTGGGCCAAAATTTTTTGGGTCGAAATTTTTTAGGCCAAAATTTTTTTGA